ACGAGAGATGTGCCACAAGAGATGTGCCTCGAGATGTGCCACGAGAGATGTGCCACAAGAGATGTGCCTCGAGATGTGCCTCGAGATGTGCCACAAGAGATGTGCCTCGAGATGTGCCACGAGAGATGTGCCACAAGAGATGTGCCTCGAGATGTGCCTCGAGATGTGCCACAAGAGATGTGCCTCGAGATGTGCCACGAGAGATGTGCCACAAGAGATGTGCCACGAGAGATGTGCCACAAGAGATGTGCCTCGAGATGTGCCACGAGAGATGTGCCACAAGAGATGTGCCTCGAGATGTGCCACGAGAGATGTGCCACAAGAGATGTGCCTCGAGATGTGCCTCGAGATGTGCCACAAGAGATGTGCCTCGAGATGTGCCACGAGAGATGTGCCACAAGAGATGTGCCTCGAGATGTGCCACGAGAGATGTGCCACAAGAGATGTGCCTCGAGATGTGCCACGAGAGATGTGCCACAAGAGATGTGCCTCGAGATGTGCCATGAGAGATGTGCCACAAGAGATGTGCCTCGAGATGTGCCACGAGAGATGTGCCACAAGAGATGTGCCTCGAGATGTGCCACGAGAGATGTGCCTCGAGATGTGCCACGAGAGATGTGCCACAAGAGATGTGCCTCGAGATGTGCCACGAGAGATGTGCCACAAGAGATGTGCCTCGAGATGTGCCACGAGAGATGTGCCTCGAGATGTGCCTCGAGAGATGTGCCTCGAGATGTGCCACGAGAGATGTGCCTCGAGATGTGCCACGAGTGATGTGCCTCGAGATGTGCCACGAGAGATGTGCCTCGAGATGTGCCACGAGAGATGTGCCTCGAGATGTGCCACGAGAGATGTGCCTCGAGATGTGCCACGAGAGATGTGCCTCGAGATGTGCCACGAGAGATGTGCCTCGAGATGTGCCACGAGAGATGTGCCTCGAGATGTGCCACGAGAGATGTGCCTCGAGATTTGCCACGAGAGATGTGCCTCGAGATGTGCCACGAGAGATGTGCCTCGAGATGTGCCACAAGAGATGTGCCTCGAGATGTGCCACGAGAGATGTGCCTCGAGATGTGCCTCGAGAGATGTGCCTCGAGATGTGCCTCGAGAGATGTGCCTCGAGATGTGCCTCGAGATGTGCCACGAGAGATGTGCCACAAGAGATGTGCCTCGAGATGTGCCACGAGAGATGTGCCTCGAGATGTGCCACGAGAGATGTGCCACAAGAGATGTGCCTCGAGATGTGCCACGAGAGATGTGCCACAAGAGATGTGCCTCGAGATGTGCCACGAGAGATGTGCCTCGAGATGTGCCTCGAGATGTGCCTCGAGATGTGCCACAAGAGATGTGCCTCGAGATGTGCCACGAGAGATGTGCCACAAGAGATGTGCCTCAAGATGTGCCACGAGAGATGTGCCACAAGAGATGTGCCTCGAGATGTGCCACGAGAGATGTGCCACAAGAGATGTGCCTCGAGATGTGCCACGAGAGATGTGCCACAAGAGATGTGCCTCGAGATGTGCCACGAGAGATGTGCCACAAGAGATGTGCCTCGAGATGTGCCACGAGAGATGTGCCGCAAGAGATGTGCCACAAGAGATGTGCCTCGAGATGTGCCACGAGAGATGTGCCACAAGAGATGTGCCTCGAGATGTGCCACGAGAGATGTGCCACAAGAGATGTGCCTCGAGATGTGCCACGAGAGATGTGCCACAAGAGATGTGCCTCGAGATGTGCCACGAGAGATGTGCCACAAGAGATGTGCCTCGAGATGTGCCACGAGAGATGTGCCACAAGAGATGTGCCTCGAGATGTGCCACGAGAGATGTGCCTCGAGATGTGCCACGAGAGATGTGCCACAAGAGATGTGCCTCGAGATGTGCCACGAGAGATGTGCCACAAGAGATGTGCCTCGAGATGTGCCACGAGAGATGTGCCTCGAGATGTGCCTCGAGATGTGCCACAAGAGATGTGCCTCGAGATGTGCCACGAGAGATGTGCCACAAGAGATGTGCCTCAAGATGTGCCACGAGAGATGTGCCACAAGAGATGTGCCTCGAGATGTGCCACGAGAGATGTGCCACAAGAGATGTGCCTCGAGATGTGCCACGAGAGATGTGCCACAAGAGATGTGCCTCGAGATGTGCCACGAGAGATGTGCCACAAGAGATGTGCCTCGAGATGTGCCACGAGAGATGTGCCTCGAGATGTGCCACGAGAGATGTGCCACAAGAGATGTGCCTCGAGATGTGCCACGAGAGATGTCCCACAAGAGATGTGCCTCGAGATGTGCCACGAGAGATGTGCCTCGAGATGTGCCTCGAGAGATGTGCCTCGAGATGTGCCACGAGAGATGTGCCTCGAGATGTGCCACGAGAGATGTGCCACAAGAGATGTGCCTCGAGATGTGCCACGAGAGATGTGCCACAAGAGATGTGCCTCGAGATGTGCCTCGAGATGTGCCACAAGAGATGTGCCTCGAGATGTGCCACGAGAGATGTGCCACAAGAGATGTGCCTCGAGATGTGCCTCGAGATGTGCCACAAGAGATGTGCCTCGAGATGTGCCACGAGAGATGTGCCACAAGAGATGTGCCTCAAGATGTGCCACGAGAGATGTGCCACAAGAGATGTGCCTCGAGATGTGCCACGAGAGATGTGCCACAAGAGATGTGCCTCGAGATGTGCCACGAGAGATGTGCCACAAGAGATGTGCCTCGAGATGTGCCACGAGAGATGTGCCTCGAGATGTGCCACGAGAGATGTGCCACAAGAGATGTGCCTCGAGATGTGCCACGAGAGATGTGCCACAAGAGATGTGCCTCGAGATGTGCCACGAGAGATGTGCCACAAGAGATGTGCCTCGAGATGTGCCTCGAGATGTGCCACAAGAGATGTGCCTCGAGATGTGCCACGAGAGATGTGCCACAAGAGATGTGCCTCGAGATGTGCCTCGAGATGTGCCACAAGAGATGTGCCTCGAGATGTGCCACGAGAGATGTGCCACAAGAGATGTGCCACGAGAGATGTGCCACAAGAGATGTGCCTCGAGATGTGCCACGAGAGATGTGCCACAAGAGATGTGCCTCGAGATGTGCCACGAGAGATGTGCCACAAGAGATGTGCCTCGAGATGTGCCACGAGAGATGTGCCACAAGAGATGTGCCTCGAGATGTGCCACGAGAGATGTGCCACAAGAGATGTGCCTCGAGATGTGCCACGAGAGATGTGCCTCGAGATGTGCCACGAGAGATGTGCCACAAGAGATGTGCCTCGAGATGTGCCACGAGAGATGTGCCACAAGAGATGTGCCTCGAGATGTGCCACGAGAGATGTGCCTCGAGATGTGCCTCGAGATGTGCCACAAGAGATGTGCCTCGAGATGTGCCACGAGAGATGTGCCACAAGAGATGTGCCTCAAGATGTGCCACGAGAGATGTGCCACAAGAGATGTGCCTCGAGATGTGCCACGAGAGATGTGCCACAAGAGATGTGCCTCGAGATGTGCCACGAGAGATGTGCCACAAGAGATGTGCCTCGAGATGTGCCACGAGAGATGTGCCACAAGAGATGTGCCTCGAGATGTGCCACGAGAGATGTGCCACAAGAGATGTGCCTCGAGATGTGCCACGAGAGATGTGCCACAAGAGATGTGCCTCGAGATGTGCCACGAGAGATGTGCCACAAGAGATGTGCCTCGAGATGTGCCACGAGAGATGTGCCTCGAGATGTGCCACAAGAGATGTGCCTCGAGATGTGCCACGAGAGATGTGCCACAAGAGATGTGCCTCGAGATGTGCCACGAGAGATGTGCCACAAGAGATGTGCCTCGAGATGTGCCACGAGAGATGTGCCACAAGAGATGTGCCTCGAGATGTGCCACGAGAGATGTGCCACAAGAGATGTGCCTCGAGATGTGCCACGAGAGATGTGCCACAAGAGATGTGCCTCGAGATGTGCCACGAGAGATGTGCCTCGAGATGTGCCACGAGAGATGTGCCACAAGAGATGTGCCTCGAGATGTGCCACGAGAGATGTGCCACAAGAGATGTGCCTCGAGATGTGCCACGAGAGATGTGCCTCGAGATGTGCCTCGAGAGATGTGCCTCGAGATGTGCCACGAGAGATGTGCCTCGAGATGTGCCACGAGAGATGTGCCACAAGAGATGTGCCTCGAGATGTGCCACGAGAGATGTGCCACAAGAGATGTGCCTCGAGATGTGCCTCGAGATGTGCCACAAGAGATGTGCCTCGAGATGTGCCACGAGAGATGTGCCACAAGAGATGTGCCTCGAGATGTGCCTCGAGATGTGCCACAAGAGATGTGCCTCGAGATGTGCCACGAGAGATGTGCCACAAGAGATGTGCCTCAAGATGTGCCACGAGAGATGTGCCACAAGAGATGTGCCTCGAGATGTGCCACGAGAGATGTGCCTCGAGATGTGCCACGAGAGATGTGCCACAAGAGATGTGCCTCGAGATGTGCCACGAGAGATGTGCCACAAGAGATGTGCCTCGAGATGTGCCACGAGAGATGTGCCTCGAGATGTGCCTCGAGAGATGTGCCTCGAGATGTGCCACGAGAGATGTGCCTCGAGATGTGCCACGAGAGATGTGCCACAAGAGATGTGCCTCGAGATGTGCCACGAGAGATGTGCCACAAGAGATGTGCCTCGAGATGTGCCTCGAGATGTGCCACAAGAGATGTGCCTCGAGATGTGCCACGAGAGATGTGCCACAAGAGATGTGCCTCGAGATGTGCCACGAGAGATGTGCCACAAGAGATGTGCCTCGAGATGTGCCACGAGAGATGTGCCTCGAGATGTGCCACGAGAGATGTGCCTCGAGATGTGCCACGAGAGATGTGCCACAAGAGATGTGCCTCGAGATGTGCCACAAGAGATGTGCCACAAGAGATGTGCCTCGAGATGTGCCTCGAGATGTGCCACAAGAGATGTGCCTCGAGATGTGCCACGAGAGATGTGCCACAAGAGATGTGCCTCAAGATGTGCCACGAGAGATGTGCCACAAGAGATGTGCCTCGAGATGTGCCACGAGAGATGTGCCACAAGAGATGTGCCTCGAGATGTGCCACGAGAGATGTGCCACAAGAGATGTGCCTCGAGATGTGCCACGAGAGATGTGCCACAAGAGATGTGCCTCGAGATGTACCACGAGAGATGTGCCACAAGAGATGTGCCTCGAGATGTGCCACGAGAGATGTGCCACAAGAGATGTGCCTCGAGATGTGCCACGAGAGATGTGCCACAAGAGATGTGCCTCGAGATGTGCCACGAGAGATGTGCCTCGAGATGTGCCACAAGAGATGTGCCTCGAGATGTGCCACGAGAGATGTGCCACAAGAGATGTGCCTCGAGATGTGCCACGAGAGATGTGCCACAAGAGATGTGCCTCGAGATGTGCCACGAGAGATGTGCCACAAGAGATGTGCCTCGAGATGTGCCACGAGAGATGTGCCACAAGAGATGTGCCTCGAGATGTGCCACGAGAGATGTGCCACAAGAGATGTGCCTCGAGATGTGCCACGAGAGATGTGCCACAAGAGATGTGCCACGAGAGATGTGCCACAAGAGATGTGCCTCGAGATGTGCCACGAGAGATGTGCCACAAGAGATGTGCCTCGAGATGTGCCACGAGAGATGTGCCACAAGAGATGTGCCTCGAGATGTGCCTCGAGATGTGCCACAAGAGATGTGCCTCGAGATGTGCCACGAGAGATGTGCCACAAGAGATGTGCCTCGAGATGTGCCACGAGAGATGTGCCACAAGAGATGTGCCTCGAGATGTGCCACGAGAGATGTGCCACAAGAGATGTGCCTCGAGATGTGCCACGAGAGATGTGCCACAAGAGATGTGCCTCGAGATGTGCCACGAGAGATGTGCCACAAGAGATGTGCCTCGAGATGTGCCACGAGAGATGTGCCTCGAGATGTGCCACGAGAGATGTGCCACAAGAGATGTGCCTCGAGATGTGCCACGAGAGATGTGCCTCGAGATGTGCCTCGAGAGATGTGCCTCGAGATGTGCCACGAGAGATGTGCCTCGAGATGTGCCACGACAGATGTGCCTCGAGATGTGCCATGAGAGATGTGCCTCGAGATGTGCCACGAGAGATGTGCCTCGAGATGTGCCACGAGAGATGTGCCTCGAGATGTGCCACGAGAGATGTGCCTCGAGATGTGCCACGAGAGATGTGCCTCGAGATGTGCCACGAGAGATGTGCCTCGAGATGTGCCACGAGAGATGTGCCTCGAGATGTGCCACGAGAGATGTGCCTCGAGATGTGCCACGAGAGATGTGCCTCGAGATGTGCCACGAGAGATGTGCCTCGAGATGTGCCACAAGAGATGTGCCTCGAGATGTGCCACGAGAGATGTGCCTCGAGATGTGCCACGAGAGATGTGCCTCGAGATGTGCCACAAGAGATGTGCCTCGAGATGTGCCACAAGAGATGTGCCTCGAGATGTGCCACGAGAGATGTGCCTCGAGATGTGCCACAAGAGATGTGCCTCGAGATGTGCCACGAGAGATGTGCCTCGAGATGTGCCTCGAGAGATGTGCCTCGAGATGTGCCTCGAGAGATGTGCCTCGAGATGTGCCTCGAGAGATGTGCCTCGAGATGTGCCTCGAGATGTGCCTCGAGAGATGTGCCTCGAGATGTGCCACGAGAGATGTGCCTCGAGATGTGCCTCGAGAGATGTGCCTCGAGATGTGCCTCGAGAGATGTGCCTCGAGATGTTCCTCGAGAGATGTGCCTCGAGAGATGTGCCTCGAGATGTGCCACGAGAGATGTGCCTCGAGAGATGTGCCTCGAGATGTGCCACGAGAGATGTGCCTCGAGATGTGCCTCGAGATGTGCCTCGAGAGATGTGCCTCGAGAGATGTGCCTCGAGAGATGTGCCTCGAGATGTGCCACGAGAGATGTGCCACGAGAGATGTGCCTCGAGATGTGCCTCGAGAGATGTGCCTCGAGATGTGCCACGAGAGATGTGCCTCGAGATGTGCCTCGAGAGATGTGCCTCGAGATGTGCCTCGAGATGTGCCTCGAGAGATGTGCCTCGAGATGTGCTCTGCAATGGGACTGATGCAAACACGCACGCACCTTGTAGTACCTGCTACCCTCACCACACCACCCACCTGCTGCCCTGCGGCATTGAGGTGCAGCGGCAGGCGTGCCTTGAGCTCCTCCACCACCCTCGCCACCTGGAAGTTCCGCCAGTTGAGCAGCAGCACCTCCTCCGCCATTATTATGCACTGGGGGGGAAGGGGAGAGGGGGGGATGGGGGATGGGGGGATGGAGGGATGGGCGGGAGAGGGTATGCGGGAAGCAGGGCGGGGGAGGGAAGCCAGTTGAGCAGCAACACCTCCTCCGCCATTATAATGCACTGGGAGGGAAGGGGAGAGGGAAAGGGGTATGGGGAAGAGGAGATGTGGGAAGGGGAGAGGGGGGGATGGGGGATGGGGGGATGGGGGGATGGGCGGGAGAGGGTATGCAGGAAGCAGGGCGGGGGAGGGAAGCCAGTTGAGCAGCAACACCTCCTCCGCCATTATTATGCACTGGGGGGGAAGGGGAGAGGGGGGGATGGGGGATGGGGGGATGGAGGGATGGGCGGGAGAGGGTATGCGGGAAGCAGGGCGGGGGAGGGAAGCCAGTTGAGCAGCAACACCTCCTCCGCCATTATAATGCACTGGGAGGGAAGGGGAGAGGGAAAGGGGTATGGGGAAGAGGAGATGTGGGAAGGGGAGAGGGGGGGATGGGGGATGGGGGGATGGGGGGATGGGCGGGAGAGGGTATGCAGGAAGCAGGGCGGGGGAGGGAAGCCAGTTGAGCAGCAACACCTCCTCCGCCATTATTATGCACTGGGGGGGAAGGGGAGAGGGGGGGATGGGGGATGGGGGGATGGAGGGATGGGCGGGAGAGGGTATGCGGGGAGCAGGGCGGGGGAGGGAAGCCAGTTGAGCAGCAGCACCTCCTCCGCCATTATAATGCACTGGGAGGGAAGGGGAGAGGGAAAGGGGTATGGGGAAGAGGAGATGTGGGAAGGGATGGGAGAAGCGGGGCGGGAGAGAGAGGCGAGTGGAGCAGCAGCATTACCTCCACCACTATATCGCACTGGGGGGACAGGGGGAGGATGTGGGAGAGGGGGATGGGCGGGGGATGGGCAGGGAGGAAGAGGGGGTGGGTGCAAGGAGGGGAGTACCGCCAGTTGGTGAAAGGAAAGGAAAGGGATATGGGTGAGATGAGAGCGGATGTTGGGGGGATGGAAGGTGGTGTAAGGGGGGTGGGGAGGGCAGAGAAGCTGGTTCAGCAGCAGCAACTCCTCCCCCATGCACTGGGTGGGGGAGGGAGGGGAATCGTGCGCGGTGGGAATGCCTTCGGAGGAGGCACGGGGTGGGATTACGAACTTCTGGCAGCGGGAGCACTTCCTCCACCATTATTACGCACTGAGCGGGGTACGGTGGGGGGGAAGGAGGGGAGGGATGAACTTCGGCAGAAACGCGTGCGAGAGAGAATGGAAAGCATTTCATCGCAGCGCAAAAGAGCCCGGCGAAAGCAAGCTCAGCTCGATGTGCTCGAAGTTCACCACACCACAGTGGCTCGCTCTCTCTCCCCAACAGCATGGAGGGGTAGGAGGAGAGCAGCGGGCGGACGGAGAATACAGAGGCGAACAGGCATACAGGCGGCACCCCACGGAGTCGCACAAGTGAGCAGCGCTCACTGAGCACTGGGCTCGAGATTTACCACAACAAACAAGAGCGTGGAAAAAAGGACCCTCGCCTCACCCACCTAGATGTGCTCTAGGTTGACCACAATGGCTGGATCTCTCCCCAACAGCGTGGGACGGGTTGGTTGGAGTATGGAGGGCAGCGGGTCGAGAATGCGGAGGTCACGGGACAGCGGGGCTCAAGGAGGTACGCCAACGAACTCTCACTCACCTTGATGTGTTCCAGATTCACCACAATGGCTTGCTCGCGCCCCAGCAGCGTGGAGGGGTAGGAGAGCAATGGGTCGAGAGAATGTGGAGGACACGGTATAGAGCGACCCAACGAGGCATTCAAAATATTCTGACTCACCTTGATGTGTTTCAGATTCACCACAATGGCTTGCTCGCGCCCCAGCAGCGTGGAGGGGTAGGAGAGCAATGGGTCGAGAGAATGTGGAGGACACGGTATAGAGCGACCCAACGAGGCATTCAAAATATTCTGACTCACCTTGATGTGTTTCAGATTCACCACAATGGCTTGCTCGCGCCCCAGCAGCGTGGAGGGGTAGGAGAGCAATGGGTCGAGAGAATGTGGAGGACACGGTATAGAGCGACCCAACGAGGCATTCAAAATATTCTGACTCACCTTGATGTGTTCCAGATTCACCACAATGGCTTGCTCGCGCCCCAGCAGCGTGGAGGGGTAGGAGAGCAATGGGTCGAGAGAATGTGGAGGACACGGTATAGAGCGACCCAACGAGGCATTCAAAATATTCTGACTCACCTTGATGTGTTCCAGATTCACCACAATGGCTTGCTCGCGCCCCAGCAGCGTGGAGGGGTAGGAGAGCAATGGGTCGAGAATGCGGAGGTCGCGAGCAGGGATGGAGCAGCGGCGCATGATGGCGTAATTGTCCGCCTCTATGACCTGAGGGGCCCGGGGGGGGGGGGAGGAGATGGAGGGATGGAGGGTACATGCACGGAGCAGAGACACATCACACATGCAGCAGCTAGGATGGAGCAGCGGCGCATGATGGCGTACTTGTCCGCTTCTATGACCTGAGGGGGAGGGGGGGGGAGATGGGGGTTACATACATGGGATGGCAACACATGACATGGAGCAGCTGGGATGGAGCAGCGGCGCATGATGGCGTACTTGTCCGCTTCTATGACCTGAGGGGGAGGGGGGGGGAGATGGGGGTTACATACATGGGATGGCAACACATGACATGGAGCAGCTGGGATGGAGCAGCGGCGCATGATGGCGTACTTGTCCGCTTCTATGACCTGAGGGGGAGGGGGGGGGAGATGGGGGTTACATACATGGGATGGCAACACATGACATGGAGCAGCTGGGATGGAGCAGCGGCGCATGATGGCGTACTTGTCCGCCTCTATGACCTGGTAGAAAAGAGGGCGGGGGGAAGAGGGGGAGGAGACGCAGGGATGGAGGGTGCATGTATGGAGCAGAGATACATGGAGCAGCTGGCATGGGAGTTGGGCGGCAAGGGAGATGGGCGGCATGGGAGTTGGGCGGCATGGGAGATGGGCGGCATGGTAGATGGGCGGCATGGGGAGATGGGCGGCATGGGGAGATGAAGCGCACTGGCATCGAGTGCGGCCTGGACGAATTTCAGCCTCTACACGCCTCACGCCAGCTCTCTTTCAAGGCGCCTTCGATGCAGTCACAGTCCTTCGACATAATCACAAGCCCTCTTTACGAATGACCCACACCTGCGTCTGCCCTGATTGGTCAATCCGCAGCCACGACCGCGCGCCAGCGCCCTTGTTGCGCCGCACGCCCAGCAGCCCGCGCTCGCGCTCCTTCCCCTCCTCCCGCTCCGCCTCCTTCCGCCTCTCCTCCGCCTTTCCCTCATCCATCCCGCCGTCCGCCGCAACCGCCGGCGACGGCGACGGTGGCACGACCAGCCGCTTCTTGCTGCTGCTGCGGCCAAGGAGCCGCCCCTTCGGCTTCATTCTGTCCCGTTTCTCGCGAGCGCACGCGCTGTCCCGTTTTTCGCGAACGCACGCGCCGTCCCGTTTTCTGGCGAATCGCCTGTGCGTTCTCAGCAGCTGGTGTCTGCCACGGTTGCTCCCCTACTCGGTGTCGCAGCGGTCTCGAAGGGACGGCTTCGACTTCATTCAAACGGCGCCTCGAAGCTTGGCTGCTGGAACGTGTTTCCCCCGACTCACTCGCCGCTCACCTGGTTGTCACGATAAACTATATCCTCGCTTGAAGGGTTTTCTTTTTAGGGTTCTGCTCATAAGAGGTGGTTTGTATTCAAATAGCATGTGTTATTGTTGCAAAAGTTCTGTTTTGTAAATAATATTTTACTGTTATCTAAACATTTCGCTGCCACGTAAAGTCCTGGGACCAATATGGGTTTTTATCAGCCTTGTTAAAGATTGTCCAACTACAAATCCAATCGAGTTACGGTAGTCATTGTCAAAAAGTGCGTGTCTGTTTATAATAAAGTGGTAGGTTGTAACACGCATTGTGCCTTTTCAGTTTTGTTTTTGTGAAAGCGCATCTTCTTGTGCCCATTCTTGCACTGTCAAAGCGCAACGGCCTTCACCAACTCGAAAACCATGGGTTGGGATTCAATTCATGTCAAGAAGCAGAATAAGATTGCTGAGTGCCGCATTAGCTTGATCATAGAGGCGGCTCGCACCTCCATGATCCATGCGGCTGCTCCCCATTTTCTGTGGCCGTTTGCGGTCCGATACGCTGCGCATCAGCTCAACCTCTTGCCCCGTGTCTCTGAGCCAGAGACCTCGCTTACACTGCGTTGGCGATGCGTCGGCGTTTCGGGTCTGGGGTTTGTTTGCCCATGTCCGCGATACCACTGCGGACAAGGTCTCTTCTCGCACCGTTCGCTGCGTCTTCCTTGGCTTTCCCACTAACGCGCATGGCTGGCAGTTCTACCACCCAGCCACGCGTCGTGTCCTGTCCTCCCATGAGGTCACCTTTGACGAGTCGGTTTGCTACTACCGTCTCCTCCCCCACATGTCTTCTCCTGTCCCCCCACCGCCCCTCTTCCTGGTTCCAAGTTACCCTCCGATTAACCCCACCCCCCCTCGCGTCCTACTCCCTCAGGTGTGTCTCAGGTCACACCACCCCCCTTGGTTGAGCCTTTGGAGGTCTCCTCCGGCTGAGGGGGGTGACCATGCTGCTGACGACACTGCGGCCTCTCGTCGCTCCCCGCACTTGGAGACCCCTCCTGGCTTCCCGCCTCGGTCGTCTTCGCCGCCTCCGCTCCCTGTCGCTGTGGACTCCGGTGCTGCTGGAGGTGGTGGCGCTGGAGGTGTAGGCTTTGAGGGTGCTGACGCTGGAGGTGCTGGTTCTCGGGGTGCTGAGCCTGGGGCTGGTGAGCCTAGGGGTGCTGAGCCTGGAGGTGCTGCACCAGCTGGTGGGCAGCAGTTGCCGTCGCGCCCGCAGGAGACTCTCTCGCCGCAGCAGCTGCGTGAGTGGGTAGTCGGACGCCGTACTGACTCTGGAGGTGATGGTTCTGGGAGTGCTGGGCCTGGGAGTGCTGACTCTTGGGGTGCTGAGCGTGGGGGTGGACGGCCACTGCCGTCGCGTCCGCAGGAGACTCTCTCGCCGCAGGAGCTGCGTGAGTGGGTAGTTGGACGCCGTGCTGATTCCGCAGGTGTTGGTTCTGGGGGTGCTGAGGGTGGGGGTGCTGCCACTGGAGGTACTGAGCCTGTAGTTGCTGACTATGGAGCTGGAGGTGCTGGAGGTACTATAGCAGGAGGTACTGGGACTGCTGGTGCTGGAGGTACTGGAGCCGGAGGCACACGACATGGAGCTACAGAGGCTGGAGGTGCTGGGGATTCTGGTACTAGAGGTACTGGGACTGGGACTGCTGGTGCTGGAGGTGCTGGAGCTGGAGGCACTTCTGCTTGTGGTGCTGGAGGTATTAGAGTTGGGGGTACTGGAGGTTCTAGTGCTGGGGGTGCTACGCAGCCTGTGCAGCATTGACCGTTCTTCTTGCCTCAGCCGGAGTCGTCACTGCCACCACCTGGTTCGGCGCACTGCCAGGTTCTCAGTCTTCCGTCTTCCACTAGACTTACTCCTCCCCTACTCTGTCCTCCGCCTGACGAGTCACAGTCATAGTTACAGCCTGACTCCCCACTGCCTGCTCCTTCTCCTTACACTGAGCAGACAGACTCTTTAAGAGAGCGCCGTGAGCCTGCGTCCCGTCCTGCCTCTCCTGTTCGCACTGTTCATCGGACTCGTCGTGTTCGTCCTCCACCTGTTCCTGGCACATATACTATGGTTCTTTGTCCTTCCTCTGTTCCACAGTGTGTTGCCCTGCCGTCTCCTCCAGCGTCCTCTCTTCGGGACGTTCCTGACCCTGAGTCTGACACTGTTCGTGTTGCTAGTCCTACTGTCACACGTCTTCTAGCCACACTTGTCACTGACCCTACTTTTGAGTCTGCTGCTGCGTCTGCCTTAGTCACTAAGCTCGTTGGATTTGCTGCTGCTTGTTGCCTCGACTACGTCGCTAGTCTTGTTACTAAGTCTGACTGTCCTCCGTCTGTCAGGGGTGAGTGTGCCCTTGGCACGGACGTCCTTGAGGACAGGCAGTTTGAGCTCTAGTGCCTTGGGCTGTTGTACCTCATCTCGCTGCCATGCTGCTTGCACCTGAGGGAGACCCAGATGCACTAGACATCCCGACCCCACGCTCTTACGTAGAGATGATCACAGGTCCTTACTCCTCTCAATGGCAGACAACCATGGACGCAGAGATGGCATCCTGGAAATCCACAAGCACCTACATCGACGCAGTTCCCCCTCCTGGGGCGAACATAGTCGAAGGCATGTGGGTTTTTAGGGTGAAGCGGCCGCCGGGTTCTCCGCATGTCTTCAAGGCGTGTTACGTTGCACGAGGCTTCAGTCAGCGACAGAGAGTTGACTTCTTCCAGACATTCTCCCCCACCCCGAAAATGACCACTCTTCGGGTGTTACTGCACGTTGCACCACAGCATGACTACGAGCTCCACTCGCTTGAGTTCTCCACAGCCTTCCTGCAGGGAAGCCTTCACGAGGAGATGTGGCTACGCCGGCCACGTGGCTTCACTGGGTCATTTCCTGAGGGTACCCAGTAGAGCCTCCGGCAGCCAGTCTACGGTCTCCGCCAGGCGCTCCGGGAGTGGCACGACACACTGACGACTACACTTGCGGCTCTTGGGTTTGCTCCTTCGACTGCTGACTCGTCGCTGTTTCTACGCACCGTCCCTTCTCTGGCGCCGTTCTACATCCTTGTGTACATCGACGACTTGGTTTTTGCTACCGCTGACACTGAAGCACTGGCCCTTGTGAAGGCGGAACTGCAGAAGAGACACACTTGCACTGACCTGGGTGAGCTGCGCAACTATCTTGGCTTGCTGATCACCCGGGACAGAGCAAGGTGCACCATCACTCTGACTCAGTCGCACATGGTGCAGCAGGTCCTGACGCGCTTCCGCTTTCAGTTCTCCTCGCCATAGCCCACTCCTCTGCCTACGAGTCATTTTCTCTTAGCTCCACCTTCGGACGATTCTGTAGAGCCGAGTGGTCCGTATCCAGAGCTTGTGGGTTGCCTAATGTACCCGATGACTTGTACTCGACCTGACCTCGCGTACCCTCTCAGCAACCTGGCCCGTTTCGTTGCTCCCAGTAGACACCGGAAGGAGCACTGGACAACTGCACAAAGGGTACTGCGTTACTTGTGCAGTACATCAGGCATGGGGCTTGTGCTTGGAGGAAGGGGTCCATTTGTGCTCACTGGGCACTCAGACGCTTCTTGGGCGGACGACCAGGCGACTCAGCGGTCGTCACAGGGTTACATTTTCAGTCTCGGCACTGGTCCTGTCTCCTAGAGGTCCACCCGCTCGTCTTCTGTTCTCAGCTCCAGTTGTGAGGCTGAGATCTACGCGGGGGCCATGGCTGCACAGGAGTTACGCTGGCTGACCTACTTGCTAATCGACTTGGGTGAGTGGCCTCGTTCTCCTCCGGTCCTGTCGTCGACAACAAGGCCATGATTGCCTTGTGTCGGAAGCAGAGACTGGAGCACAAAACGAAGCACATCGCTCTGTGTTACTTCCTCGCTCGAGAGCTGCAGCAGCGTGGTCAGCTTCGCCTTGCTTATGTGGCCTCACACGCCAACACAGCTGGTATCTTCACCAAGGCCCTGGGGTCTGGTGCGTTTCTGCACTGCTCTGGGCCTTGTACCTACTCTGCCTCACTTGCTTACCTCTTGACTTCGCCTTTTACTGTGATCTATACATATTTGCCTGCATTCTTGTTTTTGTTAGGCTGTGATTGTCAGAATAAGTGTGCAGGAATGATTGGATTAGCAAGAGTTGGGGTACAAGTACTAACCTTAGAAGTGATGTACCCCATAAGGAGTGCCCCACTATAGCCTACAAGTAAGATTGTACTTTGACACACCCCCATAGGCTAAGTGGGGGACAACAAGATGGTCACAAGACCAGTCAAGCAAGACAACAAAGCAAAGCCCAGGGTGGATCTCAAGGACACCACACAATCCGAGCACAAGCAAGCGGCCACAAGGCCAGTTCACATGCAGAGTTATAATAGCAAGGCAGTACACTGATCACAACCTAGCAAGAGGAAACATGCAGGTATAAATATAGATATTAGTGTACAACAAGTGCAAGATCAAGAGACAAGCAGGTGAGGTAGAATGGGCAGAAGCCCAAGAGCAGTGCAAAAACACTGAAGATCACCAGACCCGAGGGCCTTGGTGAAGACATCAGCAGTGTGGGCCCGAGAGGCCACGTAAGAAAGGCGAAGCTGACCACGCTGCTGCAGCTCTCGAGAAAGAAAGTAGCGAAGAGCAATGAGCTTCGTTCTGTACTCCAGTCTCTGCTTCCGACACAAGGCAAGCATGGCCTTGTTGTCGGCGTAGAGAACTGGAGGAGAACGAGGCCGCTCCCCCAAGTCGGTCAACAGGTAGGTCAGCCAGCGT